CCCAGGTGTCCGAAAGGCCGACTGCGGAAACTTGCGGGCGCCCGGCACTGGGTGGCCAGCTGTCCCGACCCCGCATTTTGCTGCAGAGCAGCACAGCGTGACCGCCACACATGGGCAGGGCACGGAGGGGAGCCTGGCGCCTACCGCGCTGGGGAGGAAGCGGGGCCATCAGACCTCCTCCCCCGGCCGTGCCCCGCCTTCACTTACATAAATGTGTGTTTCTCCTGTTTATTAAATGCAAATGACAGAGAACATTTTTCTGAAAGTCTGCTCCTCCTTGTAGAAAGCTCTGAAAAGTTGGTGGTGCTCTCCTGCAGTCCCTGTCCTTGGGAGGTTGAGGGAGGAAGATCCGGGAGTTCAGGAACAGCCTGGGCTAGGCAGCGAGACCTCGTCAAAACCAAACCAAACCAAACCAAACTCCAGCAATGTCAGATTTGGGTCTCTTTACTACCTGTGGCAGCTTCCAGAGCAGAGCTGCCATCGCACGGGCCGACAAGTGCGGCGGGGGAAGCGGGTGGGCGCTGCTCAGATGCCCGTCCTGCCCTCCCTGGCCGCCCCTCCCAGCTGGGTTACAGACCCGCCCGTTCCTCTCCGCCCAGCGCCAGTGTCACGGTCAGCGCCGCCAGGTCTGGCTCAAACGTCTCACTGGTCACAGCTCATCCACAGGACGGAGCCGGGCAATGTGCGAATATGTGCAAGGGCACTCGCAGGATAGTCCGCCTGCTTCTTAGTGGGGATGGCTAAGGCTCACCTCAGGGTGGAGGGCAGCCCACAGCAACCAGGCGCTCGGGCCAGACGCCCACAACCACTGCGGCTATGCACATTTTCGCTTTCTGTTCTTCTGCCTTTGGTGCTGGGAATCAAACCCTGAGCCGTAAGCATGCTAGAAGACTGTTCTGCCACTGAGCTACAACTGCAGCCCCTAGAATAATATTAGAGAAAAGTCGTAAAAACCTCCCAGAAACATTTTATGGTGAAGGGCAGATTAAATAATGGTCTATTTAAGGGCACAGATCTTTCTTTTGTACGTTTGCCACTTGGGAGGCTGACGCAGGAGGATCTTGAGTTTGAGGACACTTTGGACAACTCAGTAAGTCCCTGCTTCAAAACAAACAAAAAAGAGTGCAGATGCAGCTCAGAGCTCCTATGTTTGAACCTTTGTACTGCACAACCAAACCAAACCAAACTGAGACAGAGACAGAGGGGGAGAGAAGGGAGAGGACGGAAACAGTGGACCAGGAGATCCCCACACCCTCACAGTAACACCCACTTCACAGCCTGCCCGGGCAGCAGGGGCAGGCGTGAGCCCACAGGGACCTGAGGCCTGGGGGCCTCTCTGAGGGACTTCACCAAAGCGGTAAACTGAGCTGTACCTAGAAGAGCTGGCCCTGGGTGGTGCACAGGCCGAGCACGATGATACCATCGGGATCAGTGAGCACTGGACTCACATCCTCAGAGCGGCCCTGCCCACAGGACTCAGAGGAGTTTTGCCATGCAGCCTAGCCTGGCCTAGAACTCACGGCCACCCTCCTGCCTCAGCCTCCTCTGAGTACTGAGACTACCAGCATGCAATGCCAGGCCTGGCCTGCAGGATACTCCTGACTGAGTCCCAGGGCCAGCCTGCCTGGCCTCACTGTCCAGAAAAACCTGAGGGAGCCAGGATCCAGCTCTACTGCGTCCTGACGGTGCAGCTGGACAATTCTGCTCCGTGATGAATGCGGCGACACTGGGCTTCTTTCCTGAGCCACTGCCACAGCCTTGCAGAAGTCCAAGCCCCAAAATTTATGGAGCTCTGTGTCCTCCCGGCCCCTCTGCCTGCCACGTGGAGGTGCCTGTGAGGGTCCAGGACTCCGCCCCACCCCTGCTGACTGGATGGGCCCTTGGGAGATGGGCTGTCCCAACCACACGCTGGTGGCCCATGGCAGGACTGCTCGACTGTCAAGCCCTGAACCCAGAAATCCAGTGGGAGCCACAGACATCACACTGCAAGGCGCCGATGACGATGAGCCTGCTACCTGTGTCCTGCACCGGGCTTCGGGCAAAGGACAAGAGGACTTGTGGGCTTAGAGCCCTAGCGACTCGCTCGCCAACGGCAGACCCACTGGGGCCTGCAGTCACCACAAGCCCTGGTCCAAGCCCAGGCAGTCGAGGTTCAGGGTCCCAGGGGGAGAAACCAAGAGGCACCGATGTGAGCCCGGGAGAAGGGGGCAGCTCCAGTGAGGCCTCCCAGGGCACCCGAGACGCCCGCGTGCTGTGGAGGATCCCACGCACAGCCTGGAGATCACACACAGGCAAGCGAACGAGGACAGAACAGTGCCTTCAGGGAAAAGAAATGTGATAGAAACAAAGAGACCTGGGTCAAAAAGACCCAGGAAAAATCAAGCAGCTGAAGAAAACCAGCAAAGCTTCACTACAAACTGAACCATGCAGAGGGAAACACAGTGTGGTATATGGCGGTCTGTTTATACCCCACCAGTCACAGGAAGGAAACATCAAAGGAGAAGGGCGTTATTTACAATTAGCCAATCAGAGGAACAAATATAGAATGAAAAAGAGTAAAGAAAGCATTAGGAAGTTGTCAGACTCCATTAAAGTCTCAAACTTTCAAATTACTAAAGTTCAGTACAGAAGAAGGAAGAGAGAAACGGGCAGGAATCTGTTTATAAAGAAATCCTGGATGAAAACCCAGCAAATCTTGGCAGGGATTTGGATTCCCAGTTCAGGAAACTCAAAACACTCCAAGAAAAGTCAATCCATTGGGCAGGTGTGATGGCACACACCTGTAATCCCAGCATTCGGGAGGATGAGGCAGGAGGATCACCTTGAGTTGGAGCCCAGCCTGGGCTACATAGTGAGTTCAAGGCCAGCTTGGACTACACACATAGCAAAACCCTGTCTCAAAAAATCAAAACAAAACGAAAAGTAACAGGTCAGTCCATGACTATTCTCATTTACATGGTAACCCAGTTGTGGAATCTAGAAGGCAAGAATAAATAAAGAGTTTGGCAAGAGACACGCCATAAGGTCAGCACCAGCGTTCTCACCTGAAACTCTGCCAACTAGGAGTGGGGAAGGAGATGATGCATTCCAGCAGAGAAAGGAAAACTTCCAGTGAGGAACAATATAGCCACACACCTGTGCTCCAGAAACAGGAGGACGAAGACTTTCCAGGGCAAACAGCAGCTGAGGGAGTCCACCACCATGCAACCTGCTTCGTGAGGTGGAAGACAAAGGTGAGTTTTCAAGTTGAGATGAAAGAACGTCACACAACAAGAGCATGGTGAGACTACGAAGCCTGGTTGTGAGCCAGGCACCGCCGTACACGGCTGCGATCCCAGCTTGCTGAGGCAGGTAGGTCAGAGAAGTTTAAGGCCAGCCTGGGCTACATCCTGATGCTCTGCCTCAACAAAACAAAACCAGACCAAAAATTCACGAATAAAGGCAAGTCCATAATATGGTAATTCTGTAATGGTTTTAAAAATATTTTAAAAAGACAAAAATATTAAATATGATAGCTGGAATAATTTGTTAAACTGCACAAGTTTAAAGGACGCAAAGTCTGACTTAATGAAAACACTGTGGGTGGGTGGTGAAGTGAATGGGTAGAGGTTTTTTTTGTTGTTTCTTTTTCTTTCTTTCTGTCTTTCTGTAGAGCTTTCTTTGTTTCTTTTTTTTTTTTTTTTTT